CCGCCGCCGGCAGACTCGCGCGCGTGAGGCCGAGCGGCAGCTTGCGCGCCGCAGCCTGCGGGAGGCGCGGAGAGGCGGGTGGGTGCGGGGAGGCGGGTGGCGCGCGGAGAGGCGGGGCGTCGGCGGCGCGGCGCGCCTGTCGCACGTGCGGCGGGGCAGCAGGAGACGCCGCCACCGCCTGCTAGCCAGCCGGGGTGGGGGTGGGGTGTGTGGAGGGAGTTGCCGAGGGGGCGAGCCGGGAGGGAGGATGTGATCGCCTGCACGGCGGCGCGAAACTCGAGCAAGTAGGGCAGCCAGTTGGACCGCACCTTTTTTTTTGAGGCCCGCGGGAGTGCAGTTTGCGGCGGAGGGGTGCGTGGAGAGAGGCTGCCGGGCAGCGCACCTCTAGCGAGCCGCCGAGCGCCAGCAGGAGCGGGAGCGAGGCGTGAAAGTGCCACCGCCGGCCGCGCTGGCGCGGCTTCGGGTACGGGTTGGGGTAGAGCAGCAGGTGGTGGTCTGTGAGCCAAAAATCGCAGGATGAGACGGATGGGCGGAGGGCGGGAGGGCGGTCACAACTGCTGGAAGCGGCTGCCAACGCGACGGCCAGACATCTGCAGCATGCGCCACAGCGTCGCGAGCTCTGCTCGCAGCAGCAGCGCGTTGGGCGGGACGGCGTCCTTGCCTGTTTTGTGCGGCCCGAGTCGCCGGCCGAGCCGATCGCCAGACCGATCGACGCCGAGGACGAGCGACTGCGGGTGCGCCAGCGCCAGCGCTCGGGTGGATAAGCCGGTGCCGCAGCCCGAGTCGAGGATGAGCGGCCGCTCTCCGGCCGCGTCGAGCCACGCAGTGAGCTCGCCAAACGCATCGTGTGTATGTGGTGGCAGCGGCTGGCGCTCGAGGTATCGCTCGAGGGAGCACGCGTGCTGCACGGCGGATGGGCCAGCGAGCTCGTGCGGCTCGAGCGGGTATGCTGCGGCAAGGCTGCCAGCCGCGGGCGTCGGGCACGGCGGCGCGACGACTGGAGTGAAGAGCTGCGGGCTAGCGGCGAGGAGCATACGTCTCTCTGCACGAAGTCGGTGGTGGCTTCACACCCGGTCTTGGACAACAGCGACGCCGACTTAGTGTGGGGAGGGTCAGCGAGCACTCTCCTTTCACTCACTAGGGCGGCGACGCAGGGCCGCCGGGCACTGGCCACGGCCTCGCCAACCACTAACTAACTAACTAGAAGGCGGCCCACCCACCCACTACGCGCACTAAGTTGGTGGGCGGGGTGGCTGGAGGCTCACTCACTAGCCCGCATGCCCGCTCGCCGGCGGCCCACTTGCGCGGAGCACTTGGAGTGCAGTCATCAACCTTTGGAGTGTTGCTGTTGCGCCACCCCGTTATTCTTCATCGTGAGCCTGTGTGTGTGCCAGTCCGCGCCAGTCTGCGCCCTTGTCGTGCCAGTGTGCTGTGAGAGAGGCTTGCGTCCTAAGAATTCTTCTTGCCGCCGCCGAACGCGCGTGTGGTCGCCTAGTGGTCGCTCGCCTTTTGTATCATGGAAGAGCAGCTCTACGAGGTCTGCGTCCCAGCGGGCGTGGCGCCTGGCCAGGCGTTTCAGGTTCAGATTGGCGGAGCGCTTATGGCGGTGCAGTGCCCTCCGGATGTTCGGCCGGGAGAGACGATCCAGGCTACAACCGTAAGAGGCAGCGTCGCGCACTGCACCGTGGCACAGCAATACCTCGCCCGCATAGGTCGTCGTGCCGCTGATGTCGCCGGGCGCAGCGGTGGAGGGTGTTCCGGTTTCGCCGGGGGTGGGTGCGCAGGATCCGCCGGTGGTCTCGATGGGTGTCGGTGTGCCAGGCCAGCCAGTGGGGCTGCACGGGCAGCCGTACTCCTACGCGCCGCAGGTCCGTCTGGTCGAGGTGGAGGAGATCTCGCCGGCGGGCTGGTGAGTGCCGGCTGCGCTGGATGGCGACGGGTGGTCTGCAAAGCTCACCCGCCCCGCGCCTGGCTGCTAGGTTCTGCCTCATCGTCGGGTGCTTTGCGTGCCCGGGCTTCAACCTGCTTGGCCTCTGCATGCGCGAGAGGAGACTCGTCCCCGTGTCCGAGATGCACGGTGGTTGGTCGTGATGAGCCGCTGGGAGGGGCCGGTCAGTCGGTCGGGGCCGCAGATGTACAGACAGAAGACACCGCACGTCGATCCTGCTCCCGCGGCGGTTCTGCCGCGGTTCTCACTATCACAGTGTGGAGGGTGCATGCGGGTGTGACAACTTGGTGAGAAGCGGGTGTGACAACTTGGCGAGAACATAAAAAACACGCGTCGTCACTGACAGGCAGGGGCAGCTCGCTTTGCTCGCAGTCGCACAGGGGGGCCGCGGACACCCAATAAGCAATTATGATATGATTTATGCCAAGGCCGAGGCGCCGCGCCCGCCTCCTTTTTCGAGAGCGGGTCCGCGCGAGCCCAAGCCCAGCGAGCCGGACGGCACCCTGTGCAAATGCACAGCAAGTGAGCAGCCGGGCCGGTAAGCGGCCCCGCGCCGCCCGCGCAGCGCAGAAAAAACGGGGGCAATGCGGGCGTGGCGCCAGCGCCGCCAGCGCCAACTCTCAGCCCGCAGAGCCTGAGCGCCCCCCCCCAACCAGCGGCCACGCGCCGGCGCTCCCAGCAAACCTCCCCGAGGCGTCGGCGCACCGCCGCCGCCACCGCTGCTCGCTCACATAGGCGGCTTGAGCGAGTAGCGGCCGCTGCGCAGCTGCGAGAGGGTCACCTTGAGCTTGGCGCCATCGCTCGCCTGCGGGCAAAGGTGGGGGGAGGGGGCGGTGAGGCGGGCGCCGCCGCACGGCGCGGACCTCGCAGGCGCCGCGCGCCCGCAGCGTCGTCTCGACCGCATTCATCGCCGAAATGGTCCACTCGTCCTCCAGCCGCTGCGAGGACGCGGAGGCGGACGTGTCAGCCGACGTGTCAGCCGACGTGTCAGCGGGCGCGGCGGCGCGAGCAGAGGGTGCACGCAGAGACGCGGACGCCATCCAGAGGCGCATGATGGGTGGGAAGCGTCTTGAAGCGTCTAGGAACGTCTCGGAGAGCGTCTCGGGAGCGTCTCGCCACCTGCCCGTGCTGATAGACGAGGACGGCGCCGTTTCGCTCAAAGCTGTGCCCGTGGCAATGCAGCTGCAGCCGGCTCCGGTCGTACCACACCTCGTTGCCGCCGTGCGCGTCCCCGCTCGCCATCGCGGCGCTGCGCACTGTGTAGTGGTCCACATTCTGCAAGGCAGAAGGGCCGCGGGTGAGTCGAGGGCGGCGGGTTGGCGCGCGAGGCGTGGCGCGGCCGGCCGGGCGGCGGCGGCGCGCCCTCAAGATCTCCTCGATGTCGGCCTTGCACTCTTCGGGCTTGAGCATGTAGTTCACGCTCGGCCCGGGCGCCGCCTAGCGGGCAAGCGCGGCGAGAGTGAGGGAAACGGCGGGCGAGGGCGGCGAGTGAGCGCGGCAGCAAGGGAGGGGCGAGCGGCAACGAGAGCGCAACAGCAAGCGAGGGCAGCGGCGACGGACGCAGGGCAGTGAGCGGCGGCGGGGCAGAGGGTGCAGGGAGGAGAGAGGCAGCGGGAAGCAGCGGCCGGGAGGGCGGCGGCGAGGAGTGCACACCACCTTGGCGCGCTTGGCGTCGCCCTCCCCCCCCTTGGCGTCGCCCTTGGCGGGGTCCGCCGGGCGCCGGCCGTGCTTGAAGCCGACCTGCCTCGCCATCGCGCGCTGCTTCTGCTCCAGCGAGTCGATTAGCCGGCTCTGAAAGAACTCGAGCTGTGCCTGCGCAGCGCGGGAGCACGCGGGTTGGGTCAGCAGATGCGGAGCGGGGGCGCAGGTGATGGCACGCGCGGCCGGTCGCGCGCGCGGGCGAGAAGGGCGGCGGGCGGCGGGCGGCGGCGGCGGCGGCGGCGGCGGCGACGCGAGGCGTGGTGCACCTTGTACTCATCATCGACCTGCTTCTTGTCACACTCGAATAGCGCGAGCACATTCTTCGTCTGCGCATTCTTCAGCGCCTCCGCCTGCGTAATCTGCTGCTGCATCGTCGCCTTGTGGCTCGCCAACTCCGCCACCAGCGCCGGGTGGGTGCCTGCAGAGGGCGCAGTGCGAGGAGGCTCAGTGCAGACAGAGGAGGTGGCGGTGAGTTTTGCGGACGGCCGCACCGTTGGTGATGGACTCAATCTCAGCCTTCCAGCCTGAGCTAGATGCGCCTTCGTCCGCGTCGGCGTCGCCCACCCGTGCCTCGTCTCCAGGGTTGCCGCGGCGAACCGAATAGCGCAGCGACATGCCGGGCTCGAGCGAAGATGGCTGTAAAAATAACAGGCAGGCAATGGTTCTCGGGCGGCGAAAATCGTTTTCTGCTCACGGCAAAGGAATCACAACAGACGTCGGCTGCGTTGAAGCCCTCCCCTCGACCCTGACTTCCCTGTGCCCTCCATGAACGTTCGTAAGCGGAGCGTGGAAGAGGACCGCCGCAAGCAAGCGGCGTGGCGTGGGTCGGTTGTGCATCCCTCCGGGGGCCCCTCTGCGCCGGGGAGGCGTTGTTGGAGGCTAGGACGCAAGCGTCCGTCGCCCTTTTCAAACTCGGGGCCCACTCCGCTAGTCCGCTACGCTCCGACCCGAATTTGGTTGGAGGGCCTGTCCCCGCGGAGAGCGACGCGACAGAGGAAGATGGCACGAAGGTCGCAGCGAGAATCGGAGAGAGACTGCGAAGAGAGATAGGAAGAGGCGGACGCCCAAGGGTGGGCGACGGATAGCGCACCACACCCCTCTCCTTAAAATCCCTGTGTGGTGGCGGCGTGCCGTCCTCCCATCCCTCCCTTGGGTTGTCTGTTTTCTTTCTTTCTTTTTTAGTCAGTCGCACCTTCGTTGATATTCATCCTTTAGACTTTTCACCTGGCGTAGCGATAGTGGCCAGCACAACTCGCCTGGACTCAACGCTCAGCCAGGAGCTCCCGCACGCGCTGGCGCGAGGCATGGCGCATGCAACGCGTCTGAATGCTCGCCTCGCCTCGCGCAAATGCGACCGTCCTCGCAGCCGACAGTCCACCGCCTGCTAAAGAAGCACAGCGACGAATGCGGCACCGGCGACGGGCTGGTCATGACGCAGTTATTGGGTGTTATGTGCCGTCAGAGTGACTCTCTGTGTGTCAGGGATAGTCAGGGCCGTCCATCAGAGCTCCAGTAAGCTCGGAGACACCCCATTAGCGCGGCTCGACCTCTTTGAGTCACTGCCTTACCGGCGGTTTGGCTGTAGAGCCTCTACAACAAACTCTACAGCAAAATCGCGCTCTACATCGCTCTACAACGCACGCAGTTCGTCACGCGGTGGATGTAGAGCTCTACAGCTCTACATTGCTCTACAGCGCTCCAGAGCGCTCTACATCTCTACAGCTCTACAGCGCTCTACACTCTACATCCTCTACATACACCCTCCCTCAGGCCTCGACGTCACGCGCCGGATGTAGAGCTCTACAGCTCTACAGCGCTCTCCAGCTCTACAGCTCTACAGCGCTCTACACTCTACATCCTCTACACCCTCCCTCAGGACAGAGGAAGAAGCGACAAGTGAGAGAAGAGAGAGAACGACGAGCGAGAGTGCGGGAAGAACGCGAGGTGGCATGAAGGTTGCGGAATCGACCCTATCCAGTGCTCAAGTGCTCAAGTGAAGGTTGCAGCGAGAATCGGCGAGAGACTGAAGAGAGATAGGAATAGGCGGACGCCCAAGGGTGGGCGACAGCTAGCGCATCACACCCCTCTCCTTAAAATCCCTGTGTGGTGGCGGCGTGCCGTCCTCCCATCCCTCCCTTGGGTTGTCTGTTTTCTTTCTTTGTGGCACCAAAAAAGGCAGAGGGGAAAAGAATTCAGGGCCTGACTCTTTCACCGGGAGCTACCTGAAAATATGCCATGTCCGCCTTGCTTTGTTTCCTAACATCGAAGGCTAAGCTCAAAGAAAAACACCTTCGAGCGTTGAGACTCCGTGCCCGTTCCTGTGGCCTTGTTCCAGACGCTTCCACTTGCTACGTCGTCTGCGACTCTCAACGCGCCACCAAAAATGTCTGCCGGCGAGGAGGTCGAGACGTTCGCCTTTCAGGCTGAGATCAACCAGCTGATGAGTCTCATCATCAACACCTTCTACTCAAACAAGGAGATCTTCCTCCGCGAGCTCATCTCCAACTCGTCCGACGCGCTCGACAAGATCCGCCACCAGGCGCGCACGCCGCAGCCGCCCACCCCGCCCCAACCCATCCCGCGGGCGGCAGCCCTGTCACCCTTCCCTCGCCTTCTCTACGCCGCCACCGGCACTGCCGCCTCGCCCTTCCCCTCTAAAGCACCAATGCGTCTCGAGCAATGCGTGCCACGCGCCGTGGCGCAGCCCCTTCTGCCTCCCCCGCTCACAGCACGCCCCGCCCGCCCCGCAGTCGCTCACCGACAAGTCGGTCCTCGATGGCAACCCGGAGCTCTACATCCGCCTCGTGCCCGACAAGTCCAACAACTCGCTCACCATCATCGACTCTGGCGTCGGCATGACCAAGGCCGAGATGATCACCAACCTGGGCACCATCGCGCAGTCGGGCACCAAGGCCTTCATGGAGGCGATGTCGGCGGGCGCCGACATCAACATGATTGGCCAATTCGGCGTCGGCTTCTACTCCTCCTACCTCGTCGCCGACCGCGTCGTCGTGACGTCCAAGCACAACGACGACGAGCAGCACGTGTGGGAGTCTGCGGCGGGCGGCTCGTTCACGGTGCGCAAGGACGCGGACGGCGAGGCGCTCGGCCGCGGCACGAAGATCATGTGCTACCTCAAGGAGGACCAGCTCGAGTACCTCGAGGAGCGCCGCCTCAAGGACCTCGTCAAGAAGCACTCCGAGTTCATCAACTACCCGATCTCGCTGTGGACCGAGAAGACGGTGGACAAGGAGGTGGACGACGACGAGGACGAGGAGGAGGACGAGAAGAAGGAGGAGGACGGCGACGAGCCCAAGATCGAGGAGGTCGACGAGGAGGCGGAGAAGAAGGAGAAGAAGAAGAAGAAGGTCAAGGAGGTGACGCACGAGTGGGACCTGATGAACAAGCAGAAGCCCATCTGGACGCGCAAGCCCGAGGAGGTGACCAAGGAGGAGTACGGCGCCTTCTACAAGGCGCTCTCCAACGACTGGGAGGAGCACCTCGCCGTCAAGCACTTCTCCGTCGAGGGCCAGCTCGAGTTCACCTCGATCCTCTTCGTGCCCAAGCGCGCGCCGTTCGACCTGTTTGAGCCCAAGAAGAAGAACTCGGGCCACATCAAGCTGTACGTGCGCCGCGTCTTCATCATGGACAACTGCGAGGACCTGATCCCCGAGTGGCTCACCTTTGTCAAGGGCGTGGTCGACTCGGAGGACCTGCCGCTCAACATCTCGCGCGAGACGCTGCAGCAGAACAAGATCCTCAAGGCGCCGCGCCCCACGCGCCTCCGAGACGCGCCCGCCCTCTCTCTCTGACGCTCGCCTCGCCCCCCTCGCCTCGCAGGTCATCAAGAAGAACATCGTCAAGAAGGCGATCGAGCTCTTCGGCGAGATCCAAGAGAACACCGAGGACTTCAAGAAGTTTTACGAGCAGTTCTCCAAGAACGTCAAGCTCGGCATCCACGAGGACTCTGGCAACCGCGCCAAGCTCGCCGAGCTGCTCATGTACCACTCGACCAAGTCGGGCGACGAGATGACGTCGCTCAAGGACTACGTCTCCCGCATGCCCGAGTCGCAGAAGGACGTCTACTACATCACCGGCGAGACCAAGAAGGCGGTCGAGACGTCTCCCTTCATCGAGCGCTGCAAGAAGCGCAACTACGAGGTGCTCTACATGACGGACCCGATCGACGAGTACTGCGTGCAGCAGCTCAAGGAGTACGACGGCAAGAAGCTCGTCTCGGTGACCAAGGAGGGCCTCAAGTTTGAGGAGACCGAGGAGGAGAAGAAGGCGTGGGAGGAGCTCACCGCCGACTTCGAGCCGCTCTGCAAGCTGATGAAGGAGATCCTCGGCGACAAGGTCGAGAAGGTTGTCATGTCGGAGCGCGTCACCGAGTCGCCCTGCGTGCTGGTGACGGGCGAGTACGGCTGGACCGCCAACATGGAGCGCATCATGCGCGCGCAGGCGCTGCGCGACTCGTCGATGTCTTCGTACATGGCCTCGAAGAAGACGATGGAGATCAACCCAAAGCACTCGATCATGAAGGAGCTCAAGGCCAAGTCGGCCGCCGACAAGGGCGACAAGACGGTCAAGGACCTGGTCCACCTGCTCTTCGAGACGTCGCTCCTGACCTCGGGCTTCTCGCTCGACGAGCCCGCCACCTTTGCCGGCCGCATCCACCGCATGATCAAGCTCGGCCTCTCCATCGAGGACGACGACGAGGCGGACGACGTCGAGGAGCTGCCGCCGCTCGAGGAGGACGGCGACGAGGGCTCCAAGATGGAGGAGGTGGATTGAGCACGCGGTCGGGGCACAGCTTGCGTGCCGCTCCCGCCTAGAGATCGCTCTCCGCGGGATCGCGCATGTGTGCGAAACTGCCAAGGGCCGGCCGCGTCGGCGCGTGTGCGAGCGGCTGAGCCTCAGGCCTCAGCGCGGGAGGGTTGGCTGCCTGTGTCCCTCTGATGTAGTGCGCTTGTATTTTTGAGAATTTGACTCATTCGCTACGTTGAACCCCACACACCAATGATCATGCTGCTCGTCGCTACCGACGTACTCCTACTCGTGACACTGAAGTCTGAACGTCCGGGGCTGGGCAAAGGCCAAAGAGCGGTGTGCGAAACGCGGTCGGAGCTGGCGATCGCTGGCGTCGACTGGCGCGGCCCGTGCGACTAGTGCCGCCCGCCGCGCCCCCCGGCCAAACGTGTTATCTCGCCGCCGCAGCGAGTCGGTCGATCTCAGCGTCGGCCGCGCCGGCGCCGGGCAGCTCGAGCGCACGCGTGCGCCAGGCCGCCGAGTCTGCGCCGCGCGAGAGCTTGTCGCAAGCGAGGCTCGCCTTGTACGCGGCCTGAGATCGGGTGGCGGTCTCCACAGTGAGAAGGTGGAGGAGCGTGTGCGCCGCATCCCCACCGCTCTCGACCGCTCTCCAATCGTCTCCCCTTCCCTCTCGGCCACTCTCCACCTTCTTGCTCGGCTTGCGCTCCCAAGCCCGCTCGTAGTAGTCGAGCGCCTGATGTAAGAGAACACACGGCTCGGCTGTAGCACAATCTCGTGCACTGCACTCCGGCGCCTCGTGGGCGTGCACGAGCATCGAGATGAGGTCTCGAGTGCTCGCCAGAATACCAAGATGCGCGGTCCGCATCTAGAGTCTCGAGCGCGCCTCTGCGTACGTCGACTCGGGCGCCTGCCCAAACAGCAGCTTCGCGGCGTTCGCCTCGACCCAACCGATGCCAGCCACCTGCGGGGTCCGAGTGGGGTCCAAGTGGGTGCCCACTTTGGGAGAGGGTATCCGGGCACCGACGTGCGACACGCCAAGGGCTGCAGGGAAGTAGAGGACCCGTCGGCCCACCCTCTCTCTCTCTCCTGGCCCGCAGCGGCCGAGCGCACCTTGAAGCACCACTCGCCGAGCGCGAGCTGGACGGACCCGTCCGCCGGCCGCATCTCCGCCGCCGTCTGCAGCGCGTCGCGGATGCGAAACGAGTTGGCCACCTTCTCCTTAGTCGGCAGGTAGGTGCCGAGAGCGCCGAGCAAGATTCCAACCCACTGCGCCGGTCAGGGGCAGCAGTCAGAGGCGGCGGTGCTGGGCGTTGGAGGGCGGAGGAGGGCGGCGGCGAGGGCGGCGGCGAAGTTGTTGTGGCGAAGCTGCTGGCATCTCGCCACAACTGTTGACACGATCTCGGCGCCACTCGCATCTCGGCGAATCTCGGCGACGTCCCGTCTCGGCGCCTTGTGGCAGAGGGCGCTCTCAGCGTCGCCCTCCTCGGCGCGGGCGAGGGCCGCCTCCGCCACCGCCAGGCCTGCGCGGAGCAGCGCCTCCTTGCGGCCCTTGTCCGCCTGCGGCCGGCGGCGGGGTCGCGGCTGGCGTCGGGGTGGTGTGCATATAGCCACTGCCCTCTCACGTCTCAGACCTCTGGCAACGAGTCGGCTAGGTCGTGGTGAGCACGGGCAAAGCGCCACGCCAGATGGAGCTCGGCGGCGTCGTCGCGCGCGGCCAGGTGCTCGTACAGCGTCTCGTAGCTCTTCGAGGTGTGGAGCTCGTCAAGAGCCTCCACTGAGCCGGGTGCTGGCGCAGTAGGTGGCGGCGGCGGCGGCGACAGAGGCGGCGGCGGCGGCGACAGAGGCGGCGGAGGTGGTAGCGGCGGTGGCGGGGACAACGTTGGTGGTGGTGGCGGCGGCGGCGGCGGTGGCGGTGGTGGCGGCGAGGAGATGGGAACGGCAACTACTGTCGGAGGAGGAGGCACAGCGATGGCAGTCGGCGCCGCATGGTTTGAGGTGACGGGCCCACTGCCACGGAAGAACTTGCGGATGGCTGCTCGCTTCCTCCCGTTCTTGAGTAGGATAGGACAGTGACGGCCCGTTGTGAGTGGGTAATACTGGTAGGAGAGGCTCGTCGACGTCGTCGCTGCTGGCAGCCGCATGCGAGCTCAGGCCGCGGAGAGTCGGGTCGTGGAGAGTCGTGGAGACTGCCGAAAGTCAAAAGAATTCCCGAGTCGAAACTCCCTCCTGTGAGAGAGAGCACGCGGCGGCGCCGCTCTCTCGCGAGACGGCTGGCGACGCGGCTCGCCGCCGACGTACGGTGCGCTCGTCCGACGGTCCGCAGCGTGGCGTGCGCGGCGCTCAGCGCCGCTCTGCGAGCGCCTCTGCGCCTGCACTGCCTGTCTCTGTTGCTGGTGGTGGTGGTGGTGCTGCTGCTGCTGGTGCCGATGCTGCTGCTGGCGCGGCGCGGCTGTGCGACTGGGCTCGACGCGCGCGTCGCGAGCGTCTGACGCGGCGGGCGGCGTCGGGCAGGTGCGCTTCTCTCTCGGGTGGTGGTGGTGGTGCTGCTGCTGCTGCTGGTGGTGCAGATGCTGCTGCTGGTGCGGCGCGGCTCTCCGACGCGACTCGATGCGCGCGTCGCGGCTATCTGACGCGGCGGGCGGCGTCGCGGGCGGCAGCGATCGCGGCTCGACGGTGGAGGTGGAGGGTGGTGGCTGTGGTGGACTTTGAGTTTATTTCATGGTCGAGTACGGGGACCGGGGGGTCAACCGGGAGGCAGGGGGTTCAACCAGGCGACGGAGGACCGTGGGCCATCGCGGGGACCGTTCGCCCGGAGGGCGTACTGGGCTGATCCGGATGGTCTTCACGCCGGTGGGTGGCACCGAGGCGTCTTGGACGCTCAGCTCTACCTTAAGCTCCTGAGGGGCGCGTGGTTCTAACCACGTAGTATGACTACAGCCCACCACAGACACCCTCCCCCACTCCTCACGTGTGTTCACACCCTCACCCTCTCCTCTCTCCTCTCTCTCTCTCTCTCTCTCCTCTCTCTCCTCTTGTCTGTGCTGTCTGCCTGACTCAGGCACTCAATCTGCCGATGCGTGATTGTGTGTGGGCTGCTCCGAGGGGGCCCTCTGTGCGATCCGACGGGTAGGGGGGCTGTGCCCGGGCGGTGTCCGGTGTGGAGTCCCCTTCTGATCCCGCCTGGGATGTTGGGTGTGAGGTTGTGGCGGCTTCGATCCCAAGGGGGGGAGCTGATCCCACTCAATAACCAACTCTCAGGGGCAGTAGGTGGGCGAGCTTCAGGCACGCTCATCTCGATCGTCAAGACGTTGCTACGCGCGGTCTTCCGCGGGGGGAGCTGCGTCGACGGGTGCGGGACCGCGGCGCAGCCAGTGCCGCGGCGAGGCCTCCGGCTGTTTGCGGCGGGCGGCTTGCTGCTCGCTGCATGGCGAAAAACTCGTCTCGCCACACGCCAAGGGCTTATGCTCTGGCGAGACGTGAGGCGCATGCGCCCAGGAGGGGAGGGGGCATGTGTAACGACACTGCTAGAGATGCCTTTCGGGGCCCAGAGATAAAACTTCTGTGATGCCATGCGTGACCTAGTAGTGTCCCCAGCTATGGGCGTGTCCACGTTGGAGCCAGGTGTGGTGTGGGCGCGAGAATAGCTCCGCCGTTCATGGAGGCAACCGATGCGAGTCGACTGGTGTGTGTCGTCGTGGTTTCGTATCAAGAATTCTCTCTCTCACCACCCCTGTGTGGTGGCGGCGTGCCGTCCTCCCATCCCTTCCTTGTATTGTGTGTTTTCTTTCTTTTCTTGCGCCTCGTTCGAGCTCGTTCGTGGATGGATGGACGATGGAGAGTGCTCCTCCCTCCCTTGCGTTGTTTTTGTTCATTCTTACAGTGCTGGAGCTCGAAAGAACTGGCCTCGCCTCCCACTAGCTCCGCTCGCAGAATAAAAAGAATTCAAAATCCCTCGTCCGTTCCGGTCCCGTGTCGGTTACAATCCACCTTTCCGTCGGCGGTCTTGCCGCGTGTGCCAGACACATGGCGGTGCTGCCCCGCTCCACGCCTCCGTCCGACCCGCTCGTCGCGGGCGTGGCCTTTGACGGGCTAGAGAATGACTTGGTGGACGGTGGATTCGTCGGCGAGGGCTCTGAGGAGGAGGAGGAAGTCTTGACGGAGCACGCCGGTCCGGGCGGCTCCTCCTCCTTTGAGGCCGTCCTGCTGCAGCTGGAGCAGGCGCCCATTCGCCAACCACGCCAACACGTCCAGTTCCAGAGCTAACAGACCAGTGCCAGCATGTCTCTCTGGTTGCCAGGTGATGATGGAGCCTCATTTTGAGGAGGAGGTTGGCGGCTTCCTCTCAGCACACTGTGATGAATTTGAGGAGGGAGAGAACAAGCTGGAGTACACCGCCATCTTTGAGAGGTGCGCATTGTGGCGATGAAGCACAGACACCGCCTCTCACACGAGAGATATCGGCCCGCACCACCGTTTGGGGGAGGGTTTGCGATCACTCGCACCGTCCGTCACCAGGTACGTGGCGGTTCTCGAGGCGCACATCGAGAAGGCCCTCGCCGCGCGGGTCGTCGGCCTCGACTTCTCAGCCTTCTGTGCCGAGCTGCTGGAGCGGGGCCCATCGGCACTCGGCGAGCAGCTCAATCTCGATGTCCTGGGCTCCTTTGGCTTTGAGGGCTTCAAGGTGAGCCCGGCTTGCCCTTTGCACTTGGTGGGTGGTGTGCGGGGCTCCCGAGACGTAGAGAGACGCGGAGGTGTCCCAACATTAGCGCGTGGACACGGTTATCGTGCCCTTGATTCGCCTCAGGAGCTGATGCTGGCGGAGAAGCGCGGCCGTCAGTGCTGCGGCGGCCTCGTCGGTGCTCCGCTGCCGCTCCACGCCGACGAGCAGGAGGACGGCGAAGCGATCCCAGACCTAAACTTGCACATCACCCCGGTCCCCTCGCTGTGGCGGCATGCGCAGCAGCCCTCGGGGATATAGGGTGTGCGCGTTTGTCGAAGAGGACGGGTAGTCTGGACGGCCGTATTTACGCCGGTGCGTGGATCGCCGGTAGAAGCCGTACCGCGTACGTGCGAGTGGATCAGTGGAAGCCCGGAAAGTCTTGTGTTTCTCCGTGACTCCGTCGCCTTTAACGGATAGCATTATACTTCACAGCACGTTGGGAGATGTTTTTGCCCCAACCCTCGCACGCCTGCACACACGACTCTCGTGTTCCGGTGCCTGCCAACCCTGCTAACGTGTGCGCCTTCGCGCCCCGGCTTCCGCGCCCCCCTGACTCCTCATGCGCCCGCCGCGGCCCTGCCCGCCTTCTTCGCCGCCGCTTCCTCGGCGCGCTGCTCCTTGAGCATCCTCAGCCGCGCCTCCCGCGGGTCCTCCACCTGCCGGCGGGCACACAGTGTGATGCGCACTACACTTTGCGCGTGGCGTGCGTACAGCTAACCGCTGAATACAGTGGGTGCAGCGTGGATACGATGGCGCATAGTCGAGTACAGTCTCCGGCAGCGGGCCAGCACAGGGCTACGCATCCCGCATCTAGAGCAGCCGCCTTGAGATCGCCCGCCTCGATCGCCCGCATCCGCGCCTCCTGCTTCTCCTTGCGCGCCGCGATCGCCGCAAACAGCGCCGACTGCGGGTCCGAGCCCTCGCCCGCGCCGGCGCCAGACCTCGAACTAGACGGTGGCGGCGGTGGCGGCCGCGGCGGCGGCGGCGGCGCTCGCGGCGGCGGCGGCGGCCCCCCAGAGGGCGGTGGCGGCGGCGGAAGTGCGGAGGGCGGCTCGGCCGGCTGCTCCTTGCGCCACGGGAGCATCGAGGCCGGCGGCTCGCACAGCGCGCGCACCTCCTGCTCCGACGGGACCGTCTGCCCGAGCTTGACCTGCAGCGGGGGCCAACCCGATTAATGATGACTGAAGCGTTAACGATTGGACCTGCAGCAGAGCCTGCAACCTCCTCTGGCAGCCTCGTCCGAGCGTCATCGCCCCTCTCTCGCCTCCATCTCGACTCGCTCTCGGCTAAATCTCGCGACCTGCAGCATCTTGAGAAAGTCCTCCGCGTGCGCCGGCATGCCCGGCCGACCGAGCACGTGCACAAGGCAGCGCATCTCCTGCGGGCGGGCGGGGCGTGGAGGGCAAGGCGTGAGGTGGGGCGGGACAGGGTTAGAGCTCACGCGACCGGCTCCGGCCGGGACGGCACCCTCCGGCCCGGGTGGAGAGGGGTGGCGGTCCGCGAGGCGGTGTGTGTGTGTGTGTGTGTGTGTGAGGGGGGGGGGGGGGGGGCTCTCCTGCGGACGGAGGCCGGAGCAGCCCATGTTTCGCCACGCGTACGGAGACAGCTTGCGCAGCTCCTCCGCGTCTGAGACGAGCAGCCCCAGCTCCGGCTTGCGCTTGAAGCGGCGCACCTCGGACACCTCGCCCTCGCCGCCCGCCAGCGTCTGCCAGAGCCAGCCGAGCGCCCCGTGCACCTTCGCATTGGCCGAGGCGAGGGCGGACGCCTATCGGAAGGCTCACGGAAGGCTCACGGAAGGCTCCAGGAAAGCTCCGGGGCGGCGCGGGCGGACGCCTTCGCCATCGCCTGGCGCATCGTCGCCTGCTTCCGCTCGCGATCCGCCTCCTGCTGCAGCTTGCGCCTCTGCTGCGCCTCGAACGCCTGGATGCGCAGCCGGCGCGGCTGGTCGATGAGCTCGCCCAGCTTAATAGTCATCATCTCGGCAAAGCCGAGCGTCGCGTCGTCCGGATCGTTGCTGATGCCGAGCCGCGCGAAAACCTCGTCCGAAGCCTCCTCGACGTAGATCTGCATGAAGCTGCCGTACAGCTCCTGCAGCTGCTCGTCCGCCAGCTGGACGAGGGCGCCTGCGGACATGTGTCACAGACATGTCACGGACGTGTCGCGGACGTGTCGCGTCGTGCCGTGGCGGGCGTGTGAGGCGGCAACGCGAGAGCCGAGATTCTCCGAGATCAGCGGAGATTGACAGCACGGCGTGGGACGCAAGGGCGGCATGGCAGTGGCGGGAGGTGTCGCGGCGTGGGAGTGCCACACGCCATTGTACTCGTCGAACAGCTTCTGGTCGAAGCGCCCCTCGGAGCGCATCGTCAGCACGCCGCGCAGCTTGCCTACAGCCGAGGTACATCCGAGATGCAACCCGACGCACACCCGAGGTGCAGCGCGGCGCGCAGCTTGCCGAGGAAGTGCTGCAGCGCCTTCTCGTCCTCGTCCTCCTCGACCTCCACGCCGCCGGTGACCTTGAGGTTCATGTTCTCGTTCCGCAGTGCCTCCTTCTCGCGCATGAGCGCCTCCTGCGCCGCCTTCATCGCCTCGAGCTGCCCGGGAGAGGGGCGCGAGAGGGTGAGGCCAGAGGCGGCGTGAGGGAGAGAGAGTGAGGGAGCGGGCACGGAAGAAGCGGCGGCAGGGGACGAGCCGAACGGGACAATCGTCTTGAGTGTGTCTGAGAAGCAGCGGCTAGGGCATCTCGGACGTGTCTCGGCTCCACCTGTCGCTTCATCTCCTCCAGCTCGTTCTGCGCCTGGCTGCGCGGCGTCATCGGAGCCGAAGACGCGGGGGCGGCGGCGGCAGCAGGCGGCGGCGCCGGGGCGGGAGCGGGCGGTGGCGGCGGTGCGACAGGCGCTGGTGCGGCCGGTGCGGGAGCGGGCGGCGGCGGCGGTGGTGCGGGAGCTAGGGACTGCGCCGGCGAGGGCGGGCCGTTCCCCCGCGGCGTCTGGCCGGAGCCGCGCGGGGTAAGCGCCTCGACCTCCGCCTTGAGGTCGGAGGGGGACGCGTTTGTGCCTCCGAGCTCCTGCCGCCGCTCGAGCGAGAGCACGGGCACTGACGCGGCGACGAGCTGCGGGGGGAGGGCGGGGGAGCGTGAGGCGGGAGCGGCCGGGCAGCGAAGCCGAGGGCGTCGATGGCAGTAGAGGCAGCTAGCGGCTGGAGGGCCCCTAAGCGCTTTGGAAGGCAGTGGCCCGGGAGGGGACGGTTCTCGGGAAGTCGCCTGCAGCGGCGAGATGCCAACGGCCTCCTCCTCCTCCTCCTCCTCCTCCTCCTCCTCGGATGACTCCTCGCTCGGCGCTGCAGGTGCGCTGTGCCCGAGAAGCGCCATGAGCTCGTCGTGATCGACAACGTCCGCCGCCCGCCCCTCCGCCCCCCCCTCCGCCTCGCCCGCCGCCTCGCCCGCCGCTGCCCCAGTAGCGGCGGCGTCCGCCTCGGAGGCAGCCTCGCTCTGCTGACTCGCGGAGGCGGTGGCGGCCACGGGCGGCGCGACGGCTGCCTCCTCCTCCTCCTCAATCACCAACCAGTGTGTATGCATCTGCCGAGAGACGTGCTACCGTATCGCATCTGCACCGCAAGCAGTGCTGGCGTGTTAGTGCAGCTGCCACGTGTTGATCGGATGCAATGCAATCGGCATCGTTGAATAAGCACTGATAGGCCGCCCACCTTTGCGCCCGGCGAGCGCAGCGCCACAACGGCAGACGC